CAGTATACCACGGAGATTAAGGGGCGACCTTCCCTACAGCTCATTTTGGATTTCTGTAAGAGTTTTGGAAAGTTTTGATTATGAGTTCTCGAGTGATTTTGGTATCTGAAGCCAAGAAAAAAAATAGGGGTTTGGTTGCCAAAACAAAAGGAAGGTTATCTCGTACTGGAAAACCTTGTGTCTGGAAATGTTTTTAAGGCATAGATTTAGTGTACAGTAGTTTTTCTTTAGGTTCGATATACGGCCAAAGAAATTTTAAAGTCAAGCAGAGATTGGGCAGCAAAATTTTGCGGATGAAAGGATGCATAAGATTATCTGTAGGGATGAGCGAAATTGAAATGGGAAAAAGGGGGAATTTTTTTTGAATATTGGGAAATTTGATTGCCCGTCCGGGGAAAAAAATTCCCAACTTGGGATGCACGAATCGAATTTCCAAAAAATGGCGGGACGTTGGGGGGGGGGGACGGAAAAGCGGGGTCTTGGGAAGGCGCGCAGACAAGGCGCACTGACCCTTTAATGCTTCTTCATGACAAGTGATCGCTTTAGCCAATCAGCACCCAGCCCCCAGACTGTTAATGGTGGAGCTCTAAATTTGCGGCCTTTTAAAATTTTCCCATTAGCCTGCGGTCATTCAAGGAGACGACCTGTCTGTATTAGGGACAGAGTTAGGGCCAGGGGACTTTGGGCCACAGAATCGTTATTGGGGGACCAGAATCGTTACTTAGGGACACAGATCGTTACTCAGGGAACGAATTTTTAAATCAGGGACACGAATTGTTATCAGGGACAGAAAGAATTTTTTATGGGGGACACGAATTGTTATGGGGACACAGAATTGTACTCAGGGACGACACAGAATTGTTACTGAGGGACACAGAATTGTTCTGGGGACACAAAATTTGTTACTCGGGACACAGAATTGTTATTTGGGGACAGACCCAAAATTGTTACTCAGGGACACAGAATTGTTACTGGGGACACAGAATTGTTACTGAGGGCACAGAATTGTTACTCGGGGGACAGACACAAAATTGTTACGAGGGACAAGAATTTTTCTGAGGGGACACAGAATTGTTACTCAGGGACACGAATTGTTCTCAGGGACCAAAATTTGTTACTAGGGCGACCCGTTTGTTAGAGGGACACAGAATTGTTCTGAGGGACACAGAATTGTTACTGGGGGGACACAAAATTTTTACTCGGGACAAGAATTGTTACTCGGGACACAAAATTGTTACTCAGGGAACAAAAATTGTTACTGAGGGACACAAAATTTGTTACTCAGGGACACAAAAATTGTTACTGGGGAAAAAATTTTTTACTCGGGACACAAAATTTTACTAGGGACAGAACAGAATTGTTACTGAGGGACACAAAAATTGTTACTCGGGGGACAAAAATTTTACTCGGGGGAACAAAATTGTTACTCGGGGAACAGAATGTTACTCAGGGACAGACACAGAATTTTTATGGGGGACACAGAATTGTTTCTGAGGGACACGAATTGTTCCAGGGACAGACACGAATTGTTACTGGGGACACAGAATTGTTACTGGGGGACACGAATTGTTACTCGGGACAGACACGAATTGTTACTGAGGGACTAAGATTTTTACTGGGGCACAGAATTGTTCTCAGGGGACACAAAATTTGTTACTCAGGGACACAAAAATTGTTACTCAGGGACAGAACGAATTGTTATGAGGGCACAGAATTGTTATGAGGGACCAAAATTTTTGGTTACTCGGGACACAGAATTGTTACTGGGGACACAGTTTTGTTATCGGGACACAAAATTTGTTACTCAGGGACACAGTTTGTTATCAGGGACAGACACAGAATTGTTACTGGGGGACACGAATTGTTACTCGGGGGACACAAAAAAAAGTTACGGGGGGACACGAATTGTTACTCAGGGACAGACACAGAATTGTTACTGGACACAGAATTGTTCCCCGGGGAACAAAATTGTTATGAGGGAACAGAATTGTTTACTCGGGGACGCAGGGAAATTGTTACTCAGGGACACAGAATTGTTATCAGGGACACAGAATTTTTATGGGGGACGGGGACACAAATTGTTATCAGGGCACAAAATTTTTTATCGGGGGGACGACACAGAATTGTTATCGGGACAAGAATTGTTTTTCAGGGACACAGAATTGTTACTGAGGGACACAAAATCGTTACTGAGGGAACGAATTGTTACTCGGGGACACAGAATTTTTGAATTAAAGGTATGTCAGACAACACGCAGGGAGGGAGAGGAGGAATGTTTCAGGAGCGAGCAGCGTGGCAGCAGGGGAAAGGGGTCGGGGGGCAGCATAGTGCGCCAGAGGCCAGTGCCCCCGGGTCATCCAGCGGTCGTGTCTCACCAAAAACCTGCCGTCATCGGGTTGGTTTGGGTCGGTCGTCTTCCTCTTCCCCGGTCACCTTGCACCTACAGCCAAACGGTTTGGGGGTACGTCAGACACAACGTTAGTTGGCATGGCCCGGGAGCAGCCCACTGAAACAGTGCCTCACCGCCCGTCCTTTGGTGTTCCCTCACCAAGCGAAATATTGCATGCTGTGGGGTCGCCCCACTGTACAGTGAGGAAAGTAACGAGGGCGGTCAGGAAGGGGGGGGACATCCCCCTCTTCAGCAGCCCGGCGAAAAAGTCTGGCGAGGGGGTGGCTCGGTAGCCGGTCTAGAGACAGGTTGTCCCTGACCCACACACAGCCGAGGGGGTGTAGTGAGGCGGGGGACCCTAATTGATGTGATGAGGGTGATCGCCTTGGCAGCCCGTCGTCATCTCCAGGCCCGTAATCTTCCCTGGGCCCCCTACCACCCCCTCATGCTGCTGCCAGGGCCGTAAAATGTCATGGGCCCCTTACCGCCTCCTCTGCTGCTGCCAGGTCCAAGTGTCTCAGGGGGCCCCGTACAGCCTCCCTTTTGCGTCCCATCGCCACACTCTGCCATGTGCACTTTCAGGTCTCCCCCAATGTGGTGGGTTTTCCCTTTTTCATAGGGTGCTGGGAGATTAAGGGCTCCCATTGCTGCTGCCAGGCCCGTAATCTGTCATGTGCCCCCGTTCGATCCTCATTGCTGCTGCCAGGCCCCGTTAATCTGTCATGGGCCCCTGTATACCCGCCTAGCCCTCAATGCTTGCTGCCAGGTCCAGAGTGTCCTCATTGGTCCCTGTACTGCCTCCCATTGCTGCTGGTCTCACCATTCGGCCACACTCTGCCATGTGCCACCTTCTTCAGGTCTCCTCACCACTGCTGGTGGGTTCCATTTGGTCATAGGGTGCGTGGCAGATTACGGGCCCTCTCACAGTCTGCTGGCTGCCAGGCTCCGTAATCTGTCATGGGCCCCCGTACCGACTCCTCAATGCTGCTGCCAGGTCCAAGCGTCCAAAGATGTCATGTGGCCCCTTTACGGACACTCTCATGCTGCGCAAAAGTCCACGCATCATGGGCTGTTTACGTCCTCCAATCGCAGCACTATTTACTCCGTCCGACCCATGCACTGTGCCAACTTTCAGGTCTCCTCACACTGCTGGTGGGTTCCATTTTGTCATAGGGCGGTGCTGGCAGATTACGGGCCTCCCATTGCTGCTGCCAGGGCCCGTAATCTGCCATGGCCGCCGTACGACTCCTCATGCTGACTGGCAGGCCCGTAATCTGTCATGGGCCCCTGTACCCCGCCTCTCCTCATTGCTGCTGTCCCAGGTTCCAGAGTGTGTCATGGGTCCCTGTACGGCCTCCCATTGCTGCTGCCAGGCCCGCTAATCTGCGCATGGGCCCTCCGATTACCGACTCCTCATGCTGCTGCCAGCGCCCGTAATCTGTTCATGGGCCCCTGTACCGCCTCCTCATTGCTGCTGCCAGGAATTCCCAGAGTCCTGTCATAGGGTCCCACTGTAACGGCCTCCCATTGCTGCTGTCTCCATCGCACACACTCTGCCATGTGCCACTTTCAGGTCTCCTCACACTGCTGGTGGGTTCCATTTTGTCATAGGTTGCTGGCAGATTACGGGCCTCCCATTGCTGCTGCTAGGCCCGTAATCTGCCATGGGCCCATGTACCGACTCCTCATGCTGCTGCCAGGCCCGTAACTGTCATGGGCCCCTGTACCGCTTCCGCCTCCTCATGCTGCTGCCATGGTCCAGAGTGTGTCTAATGGGTCCCAGTACGGGCCTCCCATTGCTGCTGTCCAGGGCCACACTCTGCCATGTGCCACTTTCAGGTCTCCTCACACTGCAGGTGGGTTCCATTTTGTCGTTAGGGTGCTGGCAGATTACGGGCCTCCCATTGCTGCTATCCAGGCCCGTAATCTGCCATGGGGGGCCCCCGTACCGACTCCTCATTGCTGCTGCCAGGCCCGTAATCTGTCATGGGCCCCTGTACCACCTCCTCATGCTGCTAGCCAGGTCCAGAGTGTGTCATGGGTCCCTGTACGGCCTCCCATTGCTGCTGTCTCCATCGCCACACTCTGCCATGTGCCACTTTCAGGTCTCCTCACACTGCTGGTGGGTTCCATTTTGTCATAGGGTGCTGTATGGCCTCCCATTGCTGCTGCCAGGCCCGTAATCTGCCATGGGCCCCCGTAACCGACTCCTCATGCTGCTGCCAGGCCCGTAATCTGTCATGGGCCCCTGTACCGCCTCCTCATGCTGCTGCCAAGGTCCAGAGTGTGTCATGGGTCCCTGTACGGCCTCCCATTGCTGCTGTCTCCATCGCCACACTCTGCCATGTGCCACTTTCAGGTCTCCTTCACACTGCTGGTGGGTTCCATTTTTTCATAGGGTGCTGTATGGCCTCCCATTGCTGCTGCCCTCCACCGCCACACTGTGGCTCCACACTCTGGTTTTGGCCCCGTGACTGCCCAAATGAGTGAAGTGTGCGGTGATTCTAAGATCGACGGCACTCATCTGCATGTCATACTGACTGACAGTATTATTTCTCTTCCCCAGCAGACTCCAAGGGCATTTAAATTAAAGGTACAGTGTTTCTGCACTAATATAAAGGCTCTCTGAAGCCTAGAAACACCCTTTTTATAAGTTGAAAATTCGCAGCGATAATTTTAAATTCGACTCGAATCAAGCTATGCAGCAATGCCTGCAGCATGTGCTTTACTACAACACAATACACATGGGCCCCTTAATGTTACATAAATAATTGCAGAGCTGCATTCATTTGTATCTTTTATATCTGCTGCCAGTTCAGTTTTAACCACTTCTCATCCAGACGACGTTACCTGGATGAGAAGGGTGATATAATGTTTTAGTGGCAGTGATTCTGTATCTTGTAAAAGTAAACTAGAGCAACTAAAGAGTCGCTGGATTACTTTTACAGTTGGCAAAAGAGGTTATTCCCCCCGCGCACGCGTGTCGTCACCACCTTTATTGGGCTCTCCCGTTAGATAAGGATGCCTGGTAAGGGTGCAACTGGCAGCATCCTGTTCCTGAGACACAGATTTCATCACTTCTGGCTTCAGTCTCACCTAAACAAGCCATTACCGGCTCGAACAAGCATCAGATTACACCGATCTTGGTGTGATCTGATGCTTTGGAAGAGAGCAGACTAGTAGTAAAGGTCTAGTAAACCCCAGATGTCTCAGCAAAGAGGACCTGACAGCGCCTATTGTTATTACGAGGAATGTTTATATTCTTTTTGATAGCAATAAAAATATTTTTTTAAAAATTAAAAGGACAGTGTAAAAAAAAATCAAATGAAATAATACATTTTTTTTAAAAAGCTTAAAGATCCCCGTACACTGTTCTTGCGGGCAACGGTGACTGCATGCATATGTAAACAGTGATTGCATGCACATGTAAGGTACAACCACGCTCATCAGAGCGAGAGCAGTAATTCTAACATCAGACCTCCTGTGTACCTCTAAACTAGTAATCTGGAGATTTTTAGGTACTGTAGTCTGGTGACGTTTCACTTTTTTAAAGCGTGACATATTTGTTATCTATTTACTCATCGTAACATCATCTTTTGTGTTTTACCAAAAAATGGGATATTTTATTGTGTTTTTGTGTGAATTAAAATTCATTAACCCCCTGGTGGTATGATTATGTCAGGAATTTTGTACCAAAAGCGGTACCAATTTTTTGCATGGAAATATGTATTTTTTTTATTGTAGGCCTGTATTTTAGGAATAACTCCCTGAAATCTGTCCGAACAACAGTCTAGTAAACATTCCAGATATGATAAAACTTGAAACACGAAATCATAAATTATAATTTAATAAATACTCATAAAAAATAATAATATAATAATAAATTTAATTCAATAATATAATCAAACTAAAAAACACTGAAATTTGAAATATAGCGCCAAGTTCGCACATCACTGAGCAAAGTCGCAAAATCATTTTCAGTGTCTGATGACAAATTTCCCCCATGAATCATTATCACTCAATTCTGCAAGTAGTTCTGATTTACTATCGCTGTTCTCTTGCTGCTCTAAAACCGCTTTTGACCTAAAGGTACGCTTTTTGGACGCCGTGGACTTTTCTAAGTTTCCAGGCAGAAAGAACAGTAAAAATGCAGGCAGGGCACAGGACAAAGCACTAGGGACAAAATGTATGTGAAATGCTTTGATACAGGAATGTTTTACTATGAAATAATCGTTTTATTAAAAATTAAATTTTTTTTTAAATTTTCACATTTGCCACCGGTTCCGGCGCCTGTACGTCCCGACGTCACAGGGACCGGAACACGGAAGCCAGATGCCGGCATCGGCCGGAGGAGATGGCCGGGGACGCTGCAGGGGACGCATCAGGGGAGCGAAGGACAAGGTAAGCGCTGTAGGGAATCCCTATGCAACGCCGCATGGTAAGCCCGAGTGTAGCTCGGGGTTACTGCTTTTGGTACTGAAACTTTAACCCCGAGCTACACTTGGGAATACCACCAGGGAGGTTAAAGTGTATTTTTTCCCAAAAACTGCTACTCAAATCTCGTGTGACAAAAAAATATACAATACCCATCATTTTATTCTCTAGGGCCTCTGCTTAAAAAAAACATAAAATAGGGGGGGGGGGGGGGTTTCTAGGTAGTTTTCTACCAAACAAATTATGTTTTTTACATGTAGAAGAGGAATGTCAGAACTGGCCCTGACTGAAAGTGGTTAAAGTGAACCACTTTGCAGCAAATTTACTATAGGCTCTGTTTATGCATAAATACAAACTGGAAATGTAATTTTCCACTGGGCTTCCAGAGACTTCGAGCGATATGTTTTCCAGGTGTTTTCAATCTTTTACAAAGCCACCGAGCATTGGAAATATTTTTGTTCCCCTGGCATAACAGAGATTCTCACTTATTCGTAACACATCAATATAACTGTCAGTACCTTATAGAAAATGAAAAGTTCTAAATAATGTATTATTCCTTCCACGCATTTATGTTTCATTTTATTTCTGTATTTCTTTTGCATTCCTGTCTACCATGTTTACGAGATAGATGAACACAATACAAGATTTCAAAGAGGACTACGTCTGTGTAGCAAGTAATCACGGCTAAGGCCTGGGTAATTATCATTCGTTATAATAAGCACTGTAGGTTCAAGGCCCTAAAACGTATAGTCTGTCACCATAATTTCACTCTAACCATCCTGAAAGAGAATAATAATTTGATGTAAGTGCCACTCTATCAATAGCCCATCGCCAAATGTGGAGAACAGGATATAAGGCCGTAATTAAATGTGTTTTCCTTACCTTTTCTTCTGAGAAAAATACATTGTTTTATGCAGAAATGCCACATTACAACTTGTAGTTTGAACAGCTCAATTCCTATAACTCATTTACCAACAGATTAGAATTTTTCCTTCACAAAGCGTGAGTGAAAAAAGCCAGCGGATTGAATGACGATGAGGTCAAAGAATGTGAAGAACATTGGTGATGTTTATCAATATGGAACACAGCAGACTAGTGGAACAGAAAATAACAGGTCTCATGACAAATCCATTGCAAATGAAATGGTCTCCGTAGGCCCAAGGCCCAAGCAACCAATCAGGATCCAGCTGCCTTTTCCTGTACCAAATGAAAGAACAAATCTGACTGGTTTCTATAGCAGCCGAGTTTATCTTTAAACTCTCCAACCAAAACTATTTCTTTTCTTAAAGTGTTACTAAACCCAGGACCCTGCATTCACTATATCTGGTCTGGACCCTGCATTCACTATATCTGGTCTCCCTGGGCACCTATATCTGGTCTCCGCGGACCCTGCATTCACTATATCTGGTCTCCCTGGACCCTGCATTCACTATATCTGGTCTCCCCGGACCCTGCATTCACTATATCTGGTCTCCCCGGACCCTCACTATATCTGGTCTCCCTGGACCCTGCATTCACTATATCTGGTCTCCCCGGACCCTGCATCCCAGGACCCTGCATTCACTGTCTCCCCGGACCCCTGCATGCACTATAAATCCCCGGTCACTATATCTGGTCTCCCCGGACCCTGCATTCACTATATCTGGTCTGGTCTCCCAGGACCCTGCATTCATCCCTGGACCCTGCATATCTATATTGGTCTCCCTGGACCCTGCATTCACTATATCTGGTCTCCCACAGTACACACAACATGGAAATGCAATTAGTTTAGTAAATATAAACTGCTAAATACCTTTTCTCATCAGCAGTTAGAGCAGTCTTGTGAATTCTATCAGTGTTCAGTGGAGGACTGCTTAACCATTTGCCTACCACGCACTTTAACCCCCTTCATACCCAGGCCAATTTTCAGCTTTCAGCTCTGTTGCACTGTGAATAACAATTGCGCAGTCATGCAACACTGTACCAATATGACATTTCCATCATTTTTTTTCACACAAATAGAGCTTTCTTTTGGTGGTATTTAATCACCACTGGGTGTTTTATTTTTTTTGCACTATAATCAAAAAAGAGCAAAAAGCAAAAAAAAAAAAAAAAAAAAAAGGTTTTCTTTGTTTCTATTATAAAATTTTGCAAACAGGTAATTTTTCTCCTTCACTGATGTGCATTGATAAGGCTGCACTGATTGGCAGCACTGATGGGCACTGACTGGCAGCACTGATGGGCACTGATGAGGTGGCATGGATAGGCAACACTGATGGGCACTGATGAGGTGGTACTGTGAGGCGGCACTGGTGGGCATTGATGAGGAGGCACTGATATGCAGCACTGCAGCACTGATGGGCGGCACTGATGGGCGACACTGCCAGGCGGGCTGCACTGAATGACGGCACTGACTGGTGGCACTGAGTGGCGGCACTGATGGGCGGCAGTGCTGGGCACAACTGCTGGGCAGCACTGATGGGGGGCACTAATGGGTGGCACTGCTGGCACTGATGGTTGGCACTGCTGGGTGGCACTGGTGGGTGGCACTGCAAGGTACTGATCATCAGGGCATGGTTTCTTTCTCTTCTAGAAGGATGCAGAACCCCTGACCTCTGGACAGTGTTGAATGGCCCTGTGCTGATCACATGTACTCTCCCAAGAAAAAAAAACATCTCTAGCAATATACATCGCACTGAGCATGTACAGAGTGTCTCCACAGGATATGTCTTATCAGGAGATAAGAGTGGGACACTGGAAGAAGGGGAGGATCAGAGATGTCAGAATCAAACAGAATCAAACAGCATTTTTACTCAGTGCAGAGGATTAACCCCTTAGGTTCCACTGTGAGTATATCAAGCATGTTTTACTGCATATACAGTTGCAAGAATGTTTACATGTTATGTACAATTAAACCATGGCAACATCTAATGTTTGTGTAGTATTATGTTCAGCAGACTGTGTTCTTCTATTGTTGTGACTTAGATGACGTTCAGAGCACATTTTATGCCCAATTCATGCAAAACTCCACGTAATCCCAAGGGGTTCACATACTTTTTCTTGTAACTGTACAGATTTATTTTACTGTTGTGGGTTTAGTAACACTTTAAAATTCACTTTTACAAGAAAACCACGTGTGCAGTTAAAGCATAACTAAAGACAATACTTTTTTTAGCTCTAGATAGCATGGAGAGGGATTAAAACAACTGGGAAGTTTTTATGGCTGACTGGGCCCCTGTTAGGGAGATTAACCCTCTCGATTTTTGCTGTCTACTGCGGTGAAAGAAATTCTCAATAAACAATAGAGGGAAAACCTTTCAATGAGGACATTAGTTCTGGTGATCCTGGTGAAAACTAGGGATTTCTTCACTATGGAGGAATTTCATCTCACTTCCTTTTTTTGGCTATGGGACAGGAAGTAAAGTGGAGGTTCCCCAATAGGACACCAATAGCATTAAAAATGGACAGGGGGTTTTAACCTTGCTGTACTCTATCCAAAATCAAAGTTAAAGTTTTTACATAGTTATATAGTTAGCCAAGTTAAAAAAAGACACTAGTCGATCTAGTTCAACCAATAGAAAAAAACAAACTACCGGTAATAGAAAACCTCAGTATGCACAACCCTACACCCACAGTGGAACCAGAGGAAGGCAAACAATTCCCCAATAAAGCATGGTCCAATTTGCTCCAGTGAGGAGAATAAAATAATCCTTCCTGATCCATACCTAGGCAATTGTATATTCCCTGAATCTATATCTATGGTGTTACTATCTATAAATGTTTGTATCTAGATATATGTTGTGTATTTAGGAATGAATGTTTTTTTAAAACAATCAGCTAAAATGGCCAGAACTAGTTCTTGAGGAAGTCTATTCCACTTTTTCACAGCTCATACTGTGAAGAAGCCTTTCTGTATGTGGAGGTTAAATCTTTTTTTCCCTTTTGTTTGTCTTTACTCCTACTTTATGGAGTGCTAGTAGATAAAAACAAATGGATAGATGGGAGTGGGTTAGAGACATGGAGAGAAGATGATAAGTTAGAACTTCCATCAGTGTATCTTTGCTCTCTGTGACTTCTTGTCCCAGCTCCACCTATTTCTTGTACAAATATCACAGTGACAGAAAGTGAGGCAAAATCTCTCCAATACAGTAACAGTATGTCCTCATAACTCTGGCCAAAATTAAAAAAATGTGTGTGGAGTTAAGTTTTAACCACTTGAAGACCAGCAGGTTTAATCCCATTCCTATCCAGGCCTCCATAATTTACAGGGTGAATTCTGTTGCAATGCTAATGGAAAATTTTGGTAGGAAATTAAGAAATTTATACAAATCAATTCACTACACCGTAAGGGGGCTTCTGTTTCGTAAGCAGTACTGGAAAAATGATTGATTGCTGGAGATAATGTAGGCAAATTTAGTTACCTTCTAATAGATTTTACTCATCTGCTTCTGCTAGAAAATTGAAAAGAAGAATACTTGTCAACTCATGGTCTTAGAGCACACCCAGATGGAAATGTCATTTTTGATTCCCCCTCCCCAGGCTGACACAAAAACCAATCCTTCCTCCCCTCCCCAAAGCCACCACTCATAACAACTAATGACACTGTGTGGCCACCTAACCATCAGCACAGTCCTAGCAATCAATTTAGTAATGCTGCCAATGTGTACACATTGCTGAGCTGCAGTGAGGACATAGTTACCAGTATGGATTCTCCAGTCTCTCCAGTCTCTGTGCCACCTCACTTTGCTTCATTGGAGACTTGTTGTTGCCAAAGATCTGAAATGAATGGAGGCCCCTTTGTGGCTCATTTAATGCACATGTATTAACATACTCTATATTGTCAAAAGTATTGGGACACCCCTCCAATTATTGGATTCAGGTGTTCATATCACCTCCATGGACACAGGTGTATAAAATCAAGCACCTAAGCATTCAGACTGCTTCTACAAACATTTGTGAAAGAATGGGTCGCTCTCAGGAGCTCAGTAAATTCAAGTGTGGTACCATGATAGGTTGCCACCTGTGCAATAAGTCCACCCGAGAAATTACCTTCCTACTAAATATTCCACGGTCAACTGTTAGTGGTATTATTACAAAGTGGAAGCAACTGGGAACAAAAGCAACTCAGCCACAAAGTAGTAAGCTATGTAAAATGACAGCGCAGGATCAGAGCATGCTGAAGCGCACAATGTGCAGAAGTCTCCAACTGTCTGCAGAGTCAATAGCTAAAGACCTCAAAACCTCATGTGGCCTTCAGATTAGCACAATAACTGTGCGTAGAGAGCTTCATGGAATGGGTCTCCATGGCTGAGCAGCTGCATCCAAGCCTCACATCACTAAGTGCAGAGCAAAGTGTTGGATGCAGTAGTGTAAAGCACACTGTCACTGGACACTAGAGCAGTGGAGACGTGTTCTATGAAATGACAAATCACATGGACGTGTCTGGGTTTGGCGGTTGCCTGACTACATTGTGCCAAGGGTAATGTTTGGTGGAGGGGGGATTATGGTGGAGTGTTGTTTTTCAGGGGTTGGGATTGGCTCCTTAGTTCCAATGAAGGGAACTCTTAAGGCATCAGCATACCAAGAGATTTTGGACAATGAAATGCTCCCGACTTTTTGGAAAGTTTGGGGATTGCCCCTTCATGTTTCAACATGACTGCACACCAGTGCACAAAGCAAGGTCCATAAAGACATGAATGAGCAAGTCTAGGGTGGAGGAACTTGACTGACCTGCACAGAGTCCTGACCTCAACTCAATAGTACACCTTTGGGATGAATTAGAGCGGAGACTGCGAGCCAGGCCTTCTGGTCCGACATCAGTGCCTGACCTCACAAATGCACTTATGGAAGAATGGTCAAAGGGTGGGCCAACTCAATTTTGAACCCTACGAACTAAGACTGCGATGCCATTAAAATTCATGTGTGTGTAAAGGCAGGAGTCCCAATACTTTTGGCAATATAGTGTATCTCTAATAATAATTATATATACCTGTGTATATGTGCACAATTCCACCTGGACTTTTCGTCCTTTGCTGATAATACCTGTTTGTACATTTAATGCATATACTGTTATTAAAGTGGTTGTAAAGGATCGACATTTTATACCTTCATGTATTCTATGCAAAACCTTCTGTGTGCAGCTTTCTTCCCCAGCCCCCTAATACTTGCTGGTACTTGCTTGACTGCATTGTGCCAAGTGTAAAGTTTGGTGGAGGGGGGATTATAGTGTGGGGTTGTTTTTTAGAGGTTGTGCTTTGCCCCTTAATTCCAGTGAAGGAAACTCCTAAGGTGTCAGCATACCGAGGCATTTTGGACAATTTCATGCTCCCAACTTTGTCGGAACAGTTTGGGGATGGCCCCTTCCTGTTCCAACATGACTGCACACCAGTGCACAAAGCAAGGTCCATAAAGACATGGATGAGCGAGTTTGTGGTGGAGGAACTTGACTGGCCTGCACAGAGTCCTGACCTCAACTCCATAGAACACCTTTGGGATGAATTAGAGTTGAGACTATGAGCCAGGCCTTCTCATCCGACATCAGTGCCTGACCTCACAAATGCACTTCTGGAAGAATGGTCAAACATTCCCATACACACCCTCCTAAACCTTGTGGACAGCCTTCCCAGAAGAGTTGATGCTGTTATAGTTGCAAGGGATGGGCCAACTCAATATTGAACCCTACGGACTAAGACA